TTGTCACCCAGGGTAGAGGGCCGTGGCATCATAGCTCACAGCAATCTCAAACTCTTGGGCTCAAGTGGTCCTCTGTCTCAGTTTTTTATTTTTAGTAGAGACAGGGTCTCACTCTTGCTCAGGCTGATCTCAAATTGGAGAGTTTAAGCAATCCACCTGCCTTAGCTTCCCAGAGTGATAGGATTACAGGCATGAGCCACCGCATTACCCAGCCAAACTTTTCTACAACTTATTGATAAAGAAACCAGTGGTGAGAAAGCTAGTTCAAAAAAGACTTATGAGAAACTGATAGACATATACATATGGGGGAGAAGAAGCAGGGCAGTATATGAAGAATACTAGAATAAGATTGCCAAGCTAGATAGAAAGCTGATTAATGCCACAGGACAATAAAATCATAGTCCTTAGAGTAAATTTCTCTGCTTAACAGAGATTATTTACTTCTTCTGACAAATACCATTTGCATCTTATCAGTTTTCTGCAAATCACCACCTAACTTTACAGTCTGTGCCTCAATCAATAGTAAATATGAGTCAAAGTTATTTTCCCTTAGACAGTCAGATGTCTCTTATGTGGCTTTGTTAACATAATACTCGATAGCAGCCTTGTCTAATATAAATATAGTGTAAGCCACAGACGTTAAATTTTTGAGTAGACACATTTTTAAAAACAAGAAGACATTGGTAAACTTACTTTTGATAATATATTTTATTTAACACAGCCTATCTAAAATATTGTCATTTCACCATAATAAATATAAAAGATTGCTAATGAATTCTTTTAAATTCTTTTTTTCTAACTAAGTCCTTGAAATCCACTGTGCATTACTTTTTGACCTTTTGATTAAGATCAAGTGAAATCTGATGTGTGTATGACATTTGCAGGACATCGAAAATTTGGACTAGCCACATGCTAAGGGTTCAGTGCAGAGCCAGGGGCTACCATACTAGATAGCAAAGCTCTAAACTGGTGTCTCAAACATTAGGATTCATCGGAATCACCTACAGGGGTTATGAACATGCAGACGTCTTCCCTCTCCCCCAGGAATTTCTGATTCAAGAGGTCTGAGATGAGAGCTGAGATTCTGCATTTCTAGGAAGTTTCCAGGTGATGCTAATACTGCTGGTATGGGCGCTATATTTGAAAATCACTGTTCCAGCATGACTTGGAAGGAACTCCTAGTGGTCCTGTTGCCTTGTTTCCAAGTTGCAGATCATTTTCTTCACACTCCTCAGGCTGGCAGGGTGGCCAGCAGTAGCCGCAGTTTCCCTGAAGGACATACCCACTGTCTTGGCCTCAGACTGGGAGGCTGCAGGCTCTCAGACTGGGAGCAGCTTGTGGACGACCCGCTGGAAGAGGCTGAGGTTTCAGCACTGATGGCATCCACCACCCTGTGCTAGCTCTCTGAGCCCCAGAGGGAAGGGGGAAAGGGACTGACCCTCAGCACCTCGTGATGGGCCCAGGCCTTGTGCTGAGTGCTTCTTACTCATCCAGAAAAGTCTGCATGGATGAAGGTGCTGGCAGGGCTCCCAAGAACAGATGGTCCTTGAAGCTTAGAGTGGCTAGAAAAGGCTGGACAGACCGAGTGGTAAATTGGTGTTGATCCCAAGCACAAATGGGACCTATACTAGAAAGGGACAGCGTGAGGAGACCTGCTGACCAATGGCTTGAGGAAGGGCCAGTGAGGGACTAGGACCCTGCTGGGAAACAGCAGCCTTAGGAGTGGGAAGTAAAGGATGTCACAGGGGCAGGACTGGCAGCCGTCGATGGCTACTCTGGTTCACAGATACAGAAGGATTTATCTACCCTAGGTCACATCTTGGCCCCATCTCAGAGATCCTTCCCCTTGATTCACGCGGGTTTGGGAGTGGGGTTTGGTACAGTGGCAGGGCACATGTGTGATGTACGGGAAGAGTGTGTCATCTTTTGGGGTACTCCCATGCTTGTTGCATTATCAGTAGTATCCAAGTTAGCATTAATCCTCTTCAGGACAGGGACTATGTCCCATCCTTGTGTTTTTCCCTCCTTTCAGAACATGATAAAGGACTGAGCCCATGAGTAGTGAATTTAAATGAACTGGTTTGCACTGTGTATGATTAGGGCATCTATACTCTATGTCAGGTATGAGTGTAGGACATGTGTGAGGTGACTACTGTGGCTGTAAGGGCATTTACATCATGGAGTGTCATAAGGGGTGTAGAGAGTGACTACTATGGCATAAATGTGTCTAGACTATTTGGGTATATACTATTTGGGAGCATTGGAAGTGTTTGCACCTTGGGATGACCTACAGGGTCCTATGATGTCTACACTTTGGTGACTACATAAGCTGTCTGCACTGCAGGTATCCCTTGGGGGAAAATGGAGAGTGTACACTGTGGGTGTGCACTGTTGGGATCCCATGAGGTATATGCACCTTGGATTGCTCTATAGGGGTGTACCAAGGTCTACACTATGTAAAAGGACTTCCGGGTGGCGTCCACTGTGGATGGAAATGTGCACTGATCTAATGACTTTATGGAAAGGAAAATAAAGGGAGTGGCCATTGGGTGGGGGAATATGACAAGTGCAGAGGGGTCAGCAGTGTGAACAGAGGTAGGGTCACAGGGGACCCACATCTCCAGGAAAGTGAGCGCCACTAGCTCCCAATGAGGGGCCATCCCCTTTGGCACACCTCTGTCCAGAGCTGGTGCTCACTCCTCCCTGCCTTTGGAGACCTTCTTTTTAAGGACAAGATCTTCAGGGCCTGTAACAAAGCTACCTTTGAATGTAAATTTCGTGTTTACAGACTTTGGAGGCAACTCTGGGGAATTAAATGAATATTCAAATTTGGGGTATATAAACAGCACATAAGTAACTATACAGTAGTTAAAGGTCCACCCTGTGGTGTTGGACCCTTACATACTATTTACATTAGCACATACATAGTATAGTATAAATCCCTCCCAAATGGGTGGAGGTAAAATGAGGAAGCTAACCAGAGGAACTCAGACAATGGCCCAGGAGGTTGTGCCACATGTCACCCAGGAGCCACGGCAGATTTTAGCTCTGTGCTCTACAGTTTGGTGGTTTTTGTTTGTTTGTTTGTTGTGTGTATATATATGTACATGTATATATATATACATGTATATATATATCTTTTTTTTTTTTTAGAGACACAGTCTCACTTTGTTGCCCTCAGTAGAGCGCTGTGGCATCACAGCTCACAGCAACCTCCAGCTCTTAGGCTTAGGTGATTCTCTTGCCTCAGCCTCCTGAGTAGCTGGGACTACAAGCACCCACCACAACACCCAGCTATTTTTTTGTTGTAGTTTGGCCAGGGCTGGGTTCGAACCAGCCACCCTCAGTATATGGGGCCAACGCCCTACTCACTGAGCCACAGGCACCACCCATATATTTTGGGCTTTTTTTGAGATAGAATCTCACTCTGTTGCCCTGCATATAGTGCCATGGTGTTATCATAGCTCATTGCAATCTCAATCTCTTGGGCTCAGGTGATCCTCTTGCCTCAGCCTCCCCAGTTACATGATGCCTGGCTAGTTCTTTCTTTCTTTCTTTTCTTTCTTTCTTTTTTTTTGACACAGTCTCACTCTGTTGCCCTGGGTATAGTGCCATGGCAGGATAGCTCACAGCAACCTCAAACTCCTGGGCTCGAGCAACCCTCTGGCCTCAGTCCCCCAAGTAGCAGCTACTGGGTGTAGTAGTTTCGAAAAGCCCGGCTAGTTTTTCTATTTTTAGTAGAGATAGGGGTCTTGCCCTTGCTCAGGCTGGTTTCAAACTCCTGAGCTCAAGGGATCCTCCCACCTTAGCCTCCTAGAGTGCTAAGACTACAGTCGTGAGCCACCTAGCCTGGCCTGCACTCTAGATGGGTTTGTAAAGGGCATCTCTCTGGATGCTCACAGAGTCCTATAGAAGCGAAGGCAGGTAGCTATTGATCATATCTGAGCTTACCAAGAGTACAATAGCCGTCCATGGTTACTGGTAGGGGCAGACCCCACCCTCTCAGCCAGCTGCCTGGAAGGATTGGAGGACCAAATGCTCATGTGTTTTTACAGACAGCATCTTCATCAATGCACATACTGTGCTTTTTTCCAATTACTATATGTGAAAAAGAAGACACTCACTATGTGTCTATACCACGAGTCTGACAGATGCACCATGTGTATATGGCAGGCATGTGCTCTGTGTGATTAAGCTTTTGCTATATTTATAATGCATACAGAAAGTACAGGGGGCATTTGCTGGGGGCATCCTGGGGGGGGAGCTGCTATATGGCATAGCTATATAGTATTTGCAAATGACTATATTTAGAAAATCATATAGAAAACCTAAAATACACCGTGTAGGATGGGCGTACATTGCGCATGGTGGGTACAGATTAGTATACCATATGTGTAATGCATATAGGCTTATGTGGATTACACATTGTATAAGCTTCTGTGACGATTATACCTGCAGTGTGCATAATGGCTATATTTTATGAGTAATAGTGCCTAAGGCATATACATTGTTTATAATGGATATACTGTTTATAATGAGTGTACATGCAGTGTGTGATAAGTTTGCATTGGGTAAGTATGAGTACCTGCTGTGTGTGGAATATACACAGTATATGTGATAGGGGTGCAGTATGTTGGGTATAATTTATGAGTAGTAGATACATATAGTATATATAGTGGACATACTCTTATAATGGATAAATATACCTTGTGTGGGTGTAATAAACATACACTTTGTGAGATAAATAAGCACTGTGATCTGTGCATGGCATGTAAGGGGCTGGTTCTGTGTAATGAAGCAGGCATTGTGATGGGTCTGTTTGGTGTGTATCAGGTATCCTGTGTATATGCAGCTGGTGATGGGAATATGGGGTTTGCGCCCGTGTGTGAGCAGGCAGAGGGAAGTCACTATACCAGAAAGGGGCATGGCAGGGAGCAGTTAGATGTTCATCTGTTTCCAGAAGCCCCAGACCCCTGAGTCCACTGACCACACTGTTTCAGATTCTTCCTCAAGTTCTTCCTCAAATGCAACCAGAACTGCCTGAAGAATGCAGGGAATCCCCGAGATATGCGGCGCTTCCAGGTGGGTCTGGAGAAGGGGTTCCTCCCTGCAAACTCACCCTTTCCTGATAGTGGAGTGGGGGAAAGGCTGTGATCTTGCCACCCTAGGGAAGGCCCCCAGAGCAGATCTCTGCCCAGCCCAGTGCCTCCAGGCCTGGTGCCTGCTGGGGGTGGGGCAGCTCTATCTCAACTTATGCTGGCTGCCAAGGGAGGCTTCATTAGAGTCCCACTTAAGAAGATGCTAATTGTGACATTTTTACATGATTAACGACCCAGGCAATTTGCATAGCGTGAAGCAGAGAGCAGCTGCCCTTAGCACATCCCCAACCTGCACACCCCTCCCAGTGCAGGGGGTTGGGAGAAGAAGGCAGCTCCAGTTCCTCCCAGGAACAGGGCAGGGGCTCCTGCCCATGGTTTTCACAGTACTCACTTGCCTAAGACCCCATTCCTTCCTTGGGGCCCTGTGGATATAGCCTAGAATTTCTATGTTTGCAAAAACAGTAGCCACTCTTTGCCCAGGGAGCCAGAGTTTTTTCAGGGATATTTGGAGAGCTGTTGTAGGGGGACAATCAGTTCATTTAGGGTGTCACATGATCCTGCTGGCCCCCTTCCACCAGCTAAGCCCCTAGGATTGAGCCCACCAGTGACCCTAAATTCCAGCATCCAGCTACAGGTCTCAAGCTGTAGCTTCCCCACACATTCCCCTCCCGGGAAGCTCCAGAAGCCTCCAGCCAGGCTGGCTCCGCTCTTCCCGCAGGTGGTGGTGTCCACGACGGTGAGTGTGGATGGACACGTGCTGGCCGTGTCTGACAACATGTTTGTGCACAACAACTCCAAGCATGGCCGCAGGGCGCGCCGTCTGGATCCCTCTGAAGGTCAGGACCCACACCCGCGCCGTGAGTCCAGCCAGTCCCCAGCCCTCACCTTGGCGTGGTCCCTGACTTGGGTCCTCTCCTACCCCCCAGCTGCCACCCCCTGCATCAAGGCCATCAGCCCCGGGGAGGGCTGGACCACGGGCGGCGCCACCGTCATTGTCATCGGGGACAACTTCTTCGACGGGTTGCAGGTCGTGTTTGGAAACGTGCTTGTGTGGAGTGAGGTGGGCCAGCACCCCGCCAGTCTCCCTCGGGTTCTCGGGGCCCTCCCCTCGCCCGGATGGGACCTGCAGGCCTCCCCTCTCCCCTCGCAGTTAATCACGCCCCACGCCATCCGGGTGCAGACGCCCCCACGGCACATCCCCGGGGTGGTGGAAGTGACCCTCTCCTACAAGTCCAAGCAATTTTGCAAAGGAGCCCCCGGCCGCTTTGTCTACACAGGTAAGCAGTCACGTGGGGGAGGGGAGGTCTAAACTCCTCCTAGGAAGCCCCGCCCAACGCAGCAATTTGGGTTTTCGGAGTTAGCAGGTCTGCGGTGTGGCCACGCCCCCAGGCGGTCGTTCTGCACGCCAGACATGTGACTGGCCTTAGATTTCCCTCTCTGGCCTCTGTCTGCTCAGTCCCTTTCTGGGCTCCGAGTCCCCACCCTCCCCAACATTCCCTCTCTGCCTCGGACTTTCTGACCAAAGTGTCTCCCTTCCCCTGGTCTAGAACCTCTCCAAGGGAAAGTTTACATCAATGATGCTTCCAAATGGGCTGGCTCCTCCCCAGATCTTTCCTGATCTCTTGTTCCCCCAAGCCACCCCAGGCTTCCCTCCCAGGCACACGCACATACACACACACACACAGTGCACCAGGGAGAGCGATTAACACAACACAAGTGGAGAGGCAGCATGGAATCCCCCGTCCCGGCTCTACACGACCACTGGTGGGAGAGTCTTCACGTCTATCCTCCTGCCCCGGCCCCACTCACTTCTCCTCACCCACTCCCCACCCCTATCAGGCCCTTCTCTGGACACTCGATAGAGACCCTACTTATCCCCAGGGGCGCCCAGTCTAATGGGGAAAGGCTGAGCAGAGACTGTGGGGTGGGTGCAGTCGCAAGGTGGAGAGGTTGACTGTCAACCAAAACCTCGAGTAGGGAGTGTTGGCTGAACTGGGCTAAACTGAAACCGGAGGGAGGAATAGGGAGGTAGACACGGAGAAGGAAAGGCAGTCGCAGGAGAAGGACAAGTGCAAAGACCCAGAAGTGCTTTTTGCTTTGCGGCTGGGGTGGGGACGGGACTGGGGTGGGATGGGGTGGGGTAGAGTAACCAAGGGACATTCACTAAGTCAAAAAATTAGAGGGGTGGGCATGGTGGCTCACGCCTGTAATCCCTTTCTTTGGGAGGCTGAGGTGGGTGGATTGCCTGAGCTCCAAGTTCTAGGCTCAGAGTTTGAGACCAGCCTGAGACAGAGGGAGACCCCTGTCTCTTAATAAAAACAAACAAAAAAAAGGCGTTGTGGTGAGCGCTACTAGGGAGGCTGAGGTCAAAGGATCTCTTGAGCTCAAGAGTTTGAGGTTTCTGTGAGCTGTGACTCCACAGCACTCCACCCAGGGTCACAAAGTGAGAGTCTGTCTCAAAAAAGGAAAAAAAAAAAAAAGGCTTGGTGCCTGTAGCTCAATGACTAGGGCGCAAACTACATATACTGGTGCTAGTGGGTTCGAACCTAGCCCAGGCCTGCCAAACAACAATGGCAACTACAACTAAAAAATAGCCTGGCGTTGTGACAGGCGCCTGTAATCCCAGCTACTTGGGAGGCTGAAACAAGAGAATTGCGTAAGCCCAAAAGTTTGAGGTTGCTGTGACCTGTGATGCTACAGCACTCCAGAGGGCAACATAGTGAGACTCTGTCTCCAAAAAAAAAAAAAGAGAGAAGTGACGAAGGTAGGACTTTGAGATCGGTGATTTAGGTCGAGGGAGGAGGAGGACAGCTGGGGGATGAAGGAGGGCATAGGAAGCCGGGTGAGAAGACTGCTGGAGAGCGCCTAGAGAGCCCGGGTTGTGGGCCAGGCCCTTCCCTGCAGTGCATTCACACCTTCAACCGTCAGACGCTTCTAAGTCCACCTGGGATGTGTTTCTTTTTTATAATAAACTCCTGATATGACCCAACTGCAAACAGAAAACTCTCCCGCGAGTCTGGTCCCTAGGAATGTAGAAACTGGGATGTGCATAGTATTTCCCTTTTTTCTAATCACAAATGAGATCGTACAGAGCATGAGTTAATGCCAAGAGTCTGGCACAGAGCCTGGCTCAGTAAATATTTGTCGAACGAACTAAGGAGCTGAGGAAAATTCCCCAACCTCGCTGACCCGTGTGCCCGGACTTTTCCGGGGCACTTGGCTGGGCTTGGTGGAGAGGGTCTGCAGGGAGACTCCTGGACTTGCCGTTTGACTCCTTTTTGCGCCCTGTATCCCTCTCTGGGAGGGGACGTCCTCCAAACGCTTTCCCTTTCCCCAGCCCTGAACGAGCCCACCATTGACTACGGGTTCCAGAGACTACAGAAAGTCATTCCCAGACACCCTGGAGACCCCGAGAGGCTGCCCAAGGTACTCAGAGGGGTGGGGCGGGGACGAGGTGTCCTGTGGGCCAGGGAGTGAGGAGGGGCTTCCTAGGGCTCCTTGGCCACCCCCAGGGGCTGCCCCTCCGTCCCGCTGTCTCTTCCCCTGCCCCCAGGAAGTGCTGCTGAAGCGGGCGGCCGACTTGGCGGAGGCGCTGTACGGAGTGCCCAGCAGTAACCAGGTATGGCGCCTCGGCTCGCCTCCTAGCGCCGCCGGGCCAGGGGCTCTCCCCCACCCGGTGCCTGCGGCTGCCCCGGCCGTGCCCTGCTCTTGTCTTCGCAGGAGCTCCTCCTGAAACGCGCGGCGGACGTGGCCGAGGCTCTGTACAGCGCCCCCCGCGCGCCCGCGCCGCTCGGACCCCTGGCCCCGAGCCATCCGCACCCGGCCGTCGTGGGCATCAACGCCTTCAGCAGTCCGCTGGCCATCGCCGTCGGGGACGCCACACCAGGACCCGAGCCGGGTGCGTCCGCCGCCCCTCCCTGCAGGCCCCTAGACTGCCCCTTCCCTTCCAGCGCTGCTCCCCTGACGGCCGCTCTCTCTCAGGCTACGCGCGCAGCTGCAGCAGCGCGTCTCCCCGCGGGTTCGCGCCCAGCCCCGGCTCGCAGCAGAGCAGCTACGGCAGTGGCCTCGGAGCTGGCATTGGCGGCTACGGCGCGCCAGGCGTGGCCGGCCTTGGTGTGCCTGGGTCCCCTAGCTTCCTCAATGGTTCCACGGCCACCTCGCCTTTCGCCAGTGAGTGTCTCCCGCCAGCGAGGGGAGGGACTGGGACCCGGGGAGCAGAACAGGGCTCAGCCCTACCCCCTTAGCCCATCCTGGGGGTACAGCGCCAGTCCCATAGGGGTCTGCAGTGGATTAACCCTCGGGAGTAAGTCTGGCCCTCTGTGTGTGGCCTCTTCTTGACCCTGCACCTCGACCCTACCCCTCGGTGGCACATTCCGGGGTCCTGCGGCCAGAGTACTTCTAGTACTTTAGCTCTCCTTGTTGACGCCAGCTGTACACATTGCTCCTAGCTGTCCAGTCCTCCTGTAATGGGGTTGCTGGGGGGATGTCTGGTGGTAACCTGGTAGACCTTTCCACCTTATTCCGGGACTTCGGGAGGAGGCTGGCGCCCCCTGCCGGAAATCTGAGGAAACTCAGGGCTCCTGAGAAGCCGGCTTCCAGTGGGCCCCACTCCCTCACCAAGACTAAGAGGCCAGGTGGGTGGTGGGAGGGTGTGACTGCCTGCGACAATATCTCGCACAACAAGTGAATTCCATGTGGTTAGACAAAGCTAGATTCAGAGTTTGAGTGTCCAAATCAGAAGCTGCCTGACATTCAGCAAGTTACTTCTTCCAACTTCAGCTTCTCAGTAAGATAGGATCAATTCCACTCCCTGCCTAAGATTGTTCTAGATCTGAATGTGCCTCTATGCATAAAGAGCCAGAAAGAATTAGGAAAGAGTGCATGATTTCGCAGTCCTAGCTCTGAATGTGGGTTCCAACCTTTCATCTGGCGTTTTGGGGTAGAGCAGCTCAGAGCTAGGTGGGCAATGTCTGGGTGTCATGGGTGAGTGACACAGAACTGTTTTATGTGTGACCAGTTTACACTATCCTCAAATCTCTTCCAGCACAAAGCCTCAGATCAGCATGTTTATGACTCTTTTTAGCCTAGCATTTCTTAGACATTTATAAAACACCTATTGAGTGCAAAGCTCCGAGCTTGGTAGATAACTCCGCCTCCACTCACCTGCAAGAACTTTGACCTCAGTCAGAGAGAGGGTGTCCCTAAATTCCCTGGGGACTGGCTCGGCGCCTGTGGCTCAAGCGGCTAAGGCGCCAGCCACATACACCTAAGGTGGCAGGTTCGAATCCCCAGTCCGGGCCCACCAAACAACAATGACGGCTGCAACCAAAAAAAAAATGGCCGGGCATTGTGGCGGGCGCCTGTGGTCCCAGCTACTTGGGAGGCTGAGGCAGGAGACTCGCCTGAGCCTAGGAGTTGGAGGTTGCTATGAGCTGTGATGCCATAGCACTCTACCCAGGGGGACAGCTTGAGGCTCTGTCTCAAAAAAAAAAAAAAATTCCCCGGGGACTCTGCTGAGCTGGAGAAAGGGTGAAGGTTGCAGAGAAGGAACTGGCAGTGGCTTTGCCTGCAGTTCCCTCACCTCCCCTCTGCCCTGTGTTCACCATTACTGAAGTCTACACTATCTGGCCACCTGTCTAGCTTTCCTTGCCAGGAACCTGTGTCTTGGATGCTGTTCTTTGTGGCTACAGGCTTGAGCCTAGCACTCTCATCTTGGCCTGGGCTCAACTTCTGGGACAGAGGCCCCATAAGCCAGAGTCTACATAGGCCATGGCCCTCTGGTGTCCTTCTGAAGGCCTCTCTCTCTCCTGGCTGTTTACTCAGGCGAGTCTTCACCTGCTCCTCTTTCCCCCTCAGTTCTGAGATGGCACACTCACAACATCTCTTTGGGTGCTGCTTGCATTTGAAACTTTTCCCCTAGGCCAGCACTAGTGGGGACTGGAACATCAGCCCCTCTCCCCACCACACACATAGTGCAGTCATCAGTGGAGGAACACTGCCCCAGTGTGCAGAAGCCAGCCCACCTGGGGTCTCCCTATTCTGCAAGAATATCAAGATTTCCAGAGCTTCTTAAATCCTACTTCCAGAGTCAGCTGGGGACACCTTGGACTTCCCCCAGGGTCAGTCCTATGTAATGTGGCTATGAGCCCTGGCTCTGAGAGATATGGTAGTCTTCTGACATTAGTCTCAAGCCCTCCGTGGGGTGCCCCATCTAGCAGTAAGCATTTAAAGGAAACTTTTGGAAGAGGGACAGCTATTGACGTCATCATTGTATCAAAGAGGGGTGCTGTTATGTGAGAGCCAGTCATCTCAAGATGTCACTTTCTTCTATGAAGCCCCAGCCCAACCCTATTACCTGCTGCTTAGACAACACTCAAATCATAGCCTTGCTGGGCCTTCCAATAGTTAAGCAGGAACTGGGTTCAGATGAAGTAGAAAGGCAGGATCTAGAGATGCCTGGGCAGGAGCGGGGGCTGCAAGAAGAAGGGGCAGGTAAAGCCTGCGTACAGGAAAACTTGCTATTCCCAAGAGAGTATGCCACACCTCTGGGTGGCTGCAGAGTTAGAGAACAGGAAGATTTGAGGATGTAGATATCTGTACATTTCTTTAAAATTGACCAACCAGAAAAAGGAGATATAGGAATTCTCCAGGCCCAGGCTGGAGATGACAAGGAAGCTGGAAGGAAGCAGTGCCCGGGATGGAGGTGGGGGTGGCAGGGACCTGACTGAACATTGAGGATGTTGCTAAGGAGAGCACGTTTGTGAGGAAGGTAGGACGCTTGCATGAGCTGTGGTCCTGGACAGACAGGCCTTAATACTGAAGCCTGTTTAAGTCCCTGGAGTTCATCCCTGACTACTTGCCTCAGCTCTTCTGTGACCACTGCACTTTGACACTTTTGGCACCCCAGTACCCCAATCTTTGATACCTTGGCACCCCAGAGCCCTTAAACCCTTCTTAGCGTCTCACAGTCCTGGGGGGTTTCAACAGGAATCCTAACCTATTATAACTCTTACTCATCTCATCTTTGGGGGCACCTCCACTGTCTGGTTTCTTTGAATGTTCTGGTTTTGTTTGCATTTTTACCTAGTGTGGCCCTGGAGATGTCCAGCCCTAAGAAAAGGGTCTCCAAAACCCTCCAGAAACCCCCTAGGAAGCCAGGCGGGCCCAGGACCCTCACAATTCCCAGTGAGGTCTAAGCCTGGGGCAGCAGCCCATGTGGGGCCCACTGCCCATGCTGGGGCCCCAGCCAAGATGCTCACTCTGGTGCTGTCTCCCTGTTGTGTCTCCCATCACCTTCCCTACTGCCCCTGCCCCTCCCTGCCCCGCCCCGGAGTCATGCCCTCTAGTCCCCCGCTGGCGGCTGCCTCCTCCATGTCCCTTCCCGCCGCTGCCCCCACCACCAGCGTCTTCTCCTTCTCGCCTGTCAACATGATCTCTGCCGTCAAACAGAGGAGCGCCTTCGCCCCCGTGCTGCGCCCACCCAGCTCCCCGCCCCAGGCCTGCCCCAGAGCCCATGCGGAGGGGCTTCCAGGTGAGAAATCCACCCTGCCTTGCTGTGGCCCTGGGAAGGGCCTTGGCAAAGCAGCTGGGCTAGAGAGGCCTGCTCCTCCCCAACTCCCTAGTGACCAGCTCTTCCTGGAGGGAGGCAAGCAGGAAGTTCTGCCTAAGTCCAGGGAGGCCCATCTGGATCCCCCACTTCCCTGGGCCTCATAGCCTGGGGTGGTCACCACCCTGGATATTCTCAGATGACCACCTAGCAAAGGGGAAGAGACTCAAATCCCATTGGGGGAAGGGCTGGACACCACCCAATGTCCCCACACATCTAGTTAAGCCCAGAGCAAAGACCCAACTCTTAGAGCGAGAGGAAGCCAAGCCTATGGGGGCCACATGCCTGTGCCCTATGTCTCCCTGTGTCCACCAGAGGGTAGCACACACCACCATGAGAGACTGTGACACTCACTGAATAGAAGAGGACTGACAGATAAGCCTTAGCCCAGCCTCCCTGTCCCCATTTTACAGATCAGGAATTGAGACCAAGTCACCCCTCTGGCATCTCATTAATGAAATGGATGTTCTCTCACTTTATGGCAGGACCTTTAGCCAGCAGAATTTTTCATATCCAAGAGCTCATTAGAAGCTCACAAGCAGACAGTGGGAGCACTAATTGTGGGGAAGCAGGAGGCCACAGGATGTGGGCAGGTCAGGTCTCAACTGACGTGTGGTTGGGGCAGGGCTGAAAAAGGGTGTCTTTCCCAAGAAGCTGACAGGTGTTTCTGTGCCTGGCTAGGGTGATGTCTCTATAGGAACCCCTAGGACTCAATACAGAGTTTAGCACCTAGCTCAGTGCCTGACACTTAGTAGGTCAGGACACTTAATAACAGAATTATTGTGTGAATAAATGGGTCAGAAGGGCACCCTTCAAACCCAGTGGCAGAGGCTGCAGTGCAGCTGACTGGGTGCCGGGCTGAAAGACACTGGTTAGAGCCAGGTTAGAGCATGTCTTACAGGGCATTGTCCAGGATAGTAATGGGTCATTGGGAAAGAATCAGTGTTCAAATTAGGTAAGTGGTCTGGAGAATTTATCAGAGCCTTTAATGTACTAGAGTGCACTGTCAATTTTCTAGGCAACAGAAAATGCAAATTTATTTAGCACAAAATATATTTTGCAGTGTGTATTAAGATTTGCTTCTGGGGAATGCCCTCGAGGTGGCGTAAGAGACACTCTCATAGTGTCCTCAGCCTGCTGTGGAGGTGGGAGGTGGCAGGCCTTGACGCTAGCCTTAGCGCTCCAGAGTCCCTAAACACTTCTTAGCATCTCACAATCCTAGGGGTTTTCAACAGGAATCCTAACCTAACTGGGCACTGGGTTGAAAGAGGCTGGTTAGAGCCAGGTGCCCAGTGCCCAGTGCTGTGGGGGCTGGTCTGGCTGAGGTGCCTGTCACAAGAGCAAGGCCAGTGATTTGAGCCCCAGAGTCATCTCTAGATCCAAGGCAGGACAGGTGGGATGGCCTCCATGCTGAGGCAGGGAACGGGCTGTGAACAGTGCCTTGTAGGGCCTCTGTGCTCCAGAGTCCCTATATGAGAGAGTCCCTGGACAATGGAAGAAGAGTAGGGAAGCACTGGGGCTGGGGGGACAAATAAGGGTGACAAATGTACACAGTAGCCAGACAGCCTGGGAGAATTGCCCCTACTGGGTGTAGACAGAGGAATCTGACACAGTCCAGTGATTCCTTAGCACTATGCTTGTGCCCTGCTCTGAAGATAGAAGTGGCCCTGTCCCACTGGGATCTGCTGCTCTGGATAGCACCAGCATGCCCATGATGAGGGTTCAAGTAAACAAATTTTGTGCCAGGGAAGGTGGGCAGATAAGAGGCTGGTCGGTGAACCATCCTGAGGGTGGGCCATCATCGGAGAGCTTGCCCAAACAGGGATTGAAGAATAAGTAGAGCTTTGTAGTGGGGAAGAAAAGCTCTAGATAGGGACCTTGGGATGAAGGTGTGTGGGTAGGGACGGGAGGAATGTTAGAGCCCATATTCAAAATGCTCAAAACAGCTCATACAAATATACATCAAAGGTTTATTTGAGTTGTTATTAGGGAGCTAACAGGATGACAGCCGCGTAAAGGAGAATGTGACAGGCTGAAATAATATCACTCAATGTAAACTACATCTAAGGGCAGTAAATCTGCAGCCTCCCTTTGGGGATTATCTTTTCTACCAATTGGAAGTCGTCTGTCATGTATCAACCTCCAAGTTAACATCCAATTTAACAAAGCCTGGGCCCTAACCAACAAGTCAAACAAGTCACGTCCCCCGAATATCATGACTCCTAATATAGTGGACTTATTAGATAATGTTCTAGGGCAGTATTTTTCAAACTTTTTTTATCTCACAGCACACTTGAACCTATAGTTAAACTTCCACAGCACACTTAAATTATGTTGATAAAAAAAAAAAGAATATACTTAACTGTGCTTTGAATGTCTTTTGAAAATTATTTAATTAATGATATTTAAAATTTTTCAAGGCATATCAGTTGAAAATTACTGCTCTAGGGTGACTTTGAAAGGATTCAGGGTCCTTTTTTGCCTGATTTCCAAATTTTGGGTAGTTTTTCTTAAGTGTATCTGGAGCTTGGAGTGTGAAGGGGATGGGGAGCACGGGGGCCACTGGTTTCCCCTGCCAGCAAAGGGAACTGTGGGAGGGGGTCAGGCAGGGGCAGGAGTGGTGAAGTGATGAATTTTGTAGATGTGGGTGGCAGGCTGCTACAGCTATTACAAATCAGTGCTCCTGGTGACTGGCCGCCTTCCTTCCCTGCCCGGATTCTTGGCCATCTGCTTCCTCAACCTGAGACAGGCCCTCCAAAAGCCACAGGCCCAGGGAAGAGGAACCCAAAGTCATCTCTCTGAGGAAAGCTAGGGAATAAAGGCTTGGGCTGTACTTACCCCTTATTAGAGTGCTCCCCCCAGGCCAGGGCTAGAGGTGACTGACTGCCTTCAGGCAGTGCTAGATGCCCTGCCTGCTGTCCCCAGACCAGAGAGGGACAGGCAGGTAAGGTCCCCAGGCAACACATGGCTTATGGCTCCCTTCTCCTTAACTACCACAGACCAGCCTTTTGAGGATTCTGACAAGTTCCACTCTCCAGCCCGGGGGCTCCAGGGCCTGGCATACTCCTAATTACGGTAGGTGTCTGGCTGGGTCTTGCCTCTTCCTCCTGGCCCTAAAAGGAGCCCTCTCTCTAGAAGGCCTCAGTAGGGATAAGGAACTGGGGTCTGGGTCTCCCTCCCCAGAGCCTGTCTAGACAGCTGTCAGAGGCACATAGCTCACCCTCATGGCCTCAGCTGACCAGGTAGAGAAAAGTGGATTCCTGCCCTCTTGCAGCCAGCCTTCCTCCAGGACCTTCTTTCCCTCTCTCTCCCTACCAGGTCTGTGGGTATTGTCCCCACAGAGCCTGGACTGGAGGTGCCTCTGGGATTCACAACCACGCCCTGGATGGCAGCACAGACAGATGCAGGGCCAGGGCTACGGGCAGACCTCAATCCCCAGGCTGCATGGGGAGAGGCCTTCATCCTCCTGCTCAAGCCTCCTGGACCAACTCCACAGGCTCCTCTTGCCTCCCTTCCTTTGGGCTGCTTGGAAGCCCCAGCACTGTGCAAATGCTCTTGGTAGGGGGCGTCCCAGGGAGGTGCTGGGATGCCGTGCCTCACTTGCTGGGTCTTAGTCCCTCTGAAAGAGATGGATCTTGTGCAGACCGGGGATGTCCAGTGAGGGGAGCATGGGATGGGGACCGTGGGAAAGAAGACAGCTCAGGGAGAAGTGACCTGGAAAGGTCCTGTTTGCATCTGACCCATCTCAGCTGGCCCAGCATCCCATCTTCTCTCCAGCAGAAAGGGCGGTGCCGGAAGTCTCAGGAGCCCTACCCAGGCTCCCATTGAGCCCCCAACAGCCAACTGGACCCTGTGGCTGTCCCCGCTTCCTTTGAGAACTGCACACTCATGCTTGCAACATCATGCCTCTCTGTGGGGGCTTTGGGCATGGGAGGCAGAACAGGGGATACCAGGTTCCCAGAATTTGGGGTCTATCCCTAACAGATGTCTCATGGACTCTGGCCCCAGACACGTACTAACTCTGGCTGGTCCCATGGAATGGCCCAACTGCTTCCCAGGTGGCCTCACACTCTGCTCTGCTAAGTTTGGAGAAAACAATAAACCAGATGCAGGTGGCTACCTGGCCTCTCTTGCCTCCTTGATGTGGGTTTGCTTTATTCAGCGGTTCAGCAGCTATCCTGGGGCCCTTGGAAACCAGGCCCTTGGACAGCCTTCTTGTACCTTGGGCTTTTTTAACAGCCCCATAGTCCAACTAAGTAAGTGTTCCCTGCTCTATGGCTGCTCGTGGGTACATGGAGGAGAGGAGCAGACTAGCAGGCCTGAGGACCCAAAACGTGGGCTCTGGGTCAGGGGCACAGGCCACGGAGGATGCAGATTCCCAGCTGTCAGGTCAGGGCCAAAGTGGGGATTGTCAGGACATTGCTGGGAGCCAGGGCAGAGCAAACCAAATGCCACCAGATACATAGAAGCTCAAAGTGAGGATCAGTCCATAACAGAGGCTGCAGGGCTGCCTGTCTGAGCCACATCCCAACCCCACCCATCACCCATAGGCTCAGGCTCCTACTTTCCCACAGGCCTGAGATTGAGAGGAGGAGTGGTAAAGAAGCAAGACCCCTAGGCCCCTTCTCTCATCTACCCACCCTGCTAGGATGAATCCCATTGTTCCCCTGAGACATGTCTCCTAGACAAAGGTCTAGCTGTCTGACCCTGAAACCACCATTCAGACCCACTATACAGTGAGCCCCATGTGCAGCCCCAAGCCTCAGCCTTTCCTCTTTCTCCCCCTTGCCTCTGGATACCCTGCCCTTCCCAGCCCATGCACCCATGCCCTGAAGCCTTTAGACAAGCACACTGGCCAAGGTACAGGGCCTGATCCTGTCTTTCAGAGGCCTCCACTTCTTTCCCTGGTGTCTTTGGCCAGTCCCTGGGATTTATATCACCTGGGGCTTACAGGTCATCCTGCCTTACTCTTAGGTACACCTGGCCTCCCCTTAGTTCCTGCTTGCAGTTCATGTTATAGAGCACCAAGCCTGCCTGTTGTGCTCTGAGGAGCTGTACTGCCCAGGCCTTCCCAAGCCAAGTCCCTGCAGAGCTATAATCTGCACTGGACATGGGCAGTCACTGGGCAGTGGTTACACTCTAGCTCCTTGGCTGGGTCAAGTGCCATGGTCAATATAAGTGAGACATGCCATCTGATCCCAACGATCCCACACCTCTGCTCAACAACTGCCCTCTCCCTCTTCTATAGCAGACATTCCTAATAAATTAGTGTTTGCTAAATACTGATTGTATCTAAATTGTGTCTCCCCAAATTCATATGTTGAAACCCTAACATCCCATGTGACTGTGTTGGAGATAAGGCCTTGAAAGAGGTGATTAAGTTTGAATGAGGTGATCCAGTAGAAGCTGATCTACTAGAACTGGTGTATAACAACAGTAAAAGCCAGATATGATGGTACCCGCCTGTAGTCCCAGCTACTTGGGAGGGCAAAGCAAGAGGATCACTTGAGCCCTGGAGTTTGAGACTAGCCTGGGCAACATAGCGAGACTCCGTGTCTAAAAATAAATAAATAGATAAGTGAAAGTTTCAAAAAGAAGAGAGACACCAGATCTCTTTCCTCACTGTGTAAGAAGAACATAGCAAGAAGGCAGCTGTCTGCAAGCCAGGAAGAGAGCCCTCACCAGGAAGCAAATCAACTGGCACCTTGACCTAGGACTTCCAGCCTCCAGGACTGTGAAAAAATAAATTTCTGTGATTTAAGCTACCCAGTCTATGGGATTTTGTTATGGTAGCCCAAGATGACTAGTACAATATTCTTTCCTACATGTCTTAGTTTTAAGTCACTCAGAAGTAGAACCCGAGATAGGTTGGTTTCTTGCCAGAGGGACAGTGCCAAACACATCTCAGAGTTTTCCCACCCAGGGGGCAAAGGATGTAGGACATTGATCCTCCAGTCTTCATCTATCACTGGCTGAGGGCTGCTTCCAACCCTCTGGTACTTCTGGCCTGTCCCTCCTACCTGCAAAAAGACAAAACCCCCCAACTTGACTTTTGTTATAGAATATTGTAAGCAAATACTGAAATGTTAAATCCAAGGGGATATGGATAGGGCACCAACAGCTTCTGTTATGCTACAGAACCACCAGGATTACAGATTTTCAAGCCACTAGTCAGAGTTGTCATTTGAGAAAAACTATTAACCAAGTCTGGTAAATTTCACAACAGGCCTTTTTGTAGCCAGTATATCAGTGAGGAGTGAGTGTCACAGGTCAATACGAGACCTGCCTGCTGGTAAACTTGGGTCTGTAGCACCTCTAACAAAGCAAGTGGGGTATGTTCTGGGTTTCCTAGAAAGAACTCCTCTCTAGACTTCTTGCATTATTTAGCCAAAAGAGGTTCCAATCTCAATAACTCCAGCAATCCTGAGTTGAGGGTAACATTTAGCCAAGTGGCAGGTGCTTGGTCTTGATCTTACATAAATCTGTAGTGGAGGCCCACTGCCCTATAAATGCTATCAGATAACTAGGTCAGAGTTGAGTTACAGTCCTGAGGCCTTGTACGCAAGACAGAATTGATTGTTTTGGGCACTGATCCTGCGGGTGCTGTGCATCTTAACCTTAGTAATGGAAATCCTAATCTTGGCTCTAATGCCTATGTGAATGTGGTTAGGGTGGCATCATTCACCTGCAATGGAAGCTGGTTTAGTTTGGGTTCCCCCAGGAGACCTTGAGACAGGAGTTGATTTCAAATGGTTTATTTAGGAGGCAATCCCAGGCATTGGCTGGAATCAGGAAAGGGAGGCAGGAGGGGAAAGGAAGCCCAAAACGGATCTCCTGGTGTTTTGTTTTGTTTTCTTTTGTTTTGTTGAGATAGTCTTAGTCACCCTTAGTAGAGTGCTATGGCGTCATAGTTCACAGCAACCTCAAACTCTTGGGTTCAAGTAATCCTCTTGCCTCAGACTCCTGGGTAGCTGGGACTACAGATTCCTGCCACAAAGCCCAGCTGCTTTTTCCATTTGTAGTAGAGACAGGGGGGTCTTGCTTTTGCTCAGGCTGGTCTCAAACTCCTCAGCTCAAACAATCTACCCACCGTGGCCTCCCAGAGTGCTAGGATAACAGACATGAGCCACAATGCCCAGCCCAGAGCACTATTGAGCAAGTTATAACTGTAGATTTTCTGGGGCTTAATTCCAGCCATGAAACCTGGGAGAGTATGAAACACATGCCCCAGAGATTTCCCACCTGAAGCGTGAGGGAACTGGGGTATTTAAACCCAGCTCCCGTCATTGAGTGGTCAAGGGCTTCTGAGTAGCATACAAGGGCAGCACCAGCTTCCTGGCGTCTCCTGTCTGCTGTACTGGGTGGTACAACAGTCCCAGTAGCTAGAGAAAGTGCTCAGGCAGAGAGAGATTCAGGTGCTGGCAGCTGGAGTCAGACAGGTGTGCACTGGAGAAGTAAAGATTTGCCCTGGAGGTGGTCCCTGGCAGTCATTTAGAGAAGTTGGTTTTTCCTACTTGAAGTAAGTTTATAGTGGATATGAATTTCCTTTATCTGCAGGTCCCACACCTCCTGGGACTATGTGACAGACTCTGCCTAGGCTGTTTCTAGTTCAAGTACAAGATGCCAGCTGACCAAGCGACCCTTCTCAGAAGTAGTCCACCCAGGATATTTTTCCATAGAGCTAATGACGGTGGGGTGGACTTCTGGCTGCTCACCCTTCAGCCTGAGAGCATATCCAGGAAATCCTCTGATTTCCTCTTATAAGTATTTCCCAGCAGAACCAGGCTGCTGCATTCTGCATTTGACCCTGGGGATTGGGTGGCCTCAGGTGACATTCAGCTCAGACAGAACCCACTTTGGACAGGTCCCAGTGGCAGCAGGTTGGACTAGCCTTCCGGCTGACTATTCTGTAAATTATCCTTCTTCTTCTTACCCCCTACCCATATTGGTAGAACCCTTAACTTCTTCCAAAAAAGAAAAATCTCCCAGAAAAATGGAAACTCTCATGTAGTGGGAAAAGAATGTTTGTTCAAGACACAGTCTCATTTTGTCACCCTGGCTAAAGTACCATGGAATCATAATTCACAGCAACCTCAATCTCTTGGGCTCAAGCGACCCTTTTGCCTCAGCATCCTGAGTAGCTGAGACTACAGGTATAACACCCAGCTTTTCTATTTTTAGTAAAATGGGGACTTGCTCTTGCTCAGGCTAGAATGTTTCTTTAAAAATGGTATTAGAGCCCAGCATGGTGGCACACATCTGCAGTTCCAACTACTCAGGAGAATGAGGCAGGGGCATCACTTAAGCCTAGGAATTTGAGACCAGCTTGAACGACATAGAAAAACTCCATTTCTAAATGGTGTTGGATCAATTGGATATTCATTCAGAAAAAAAAACCAAACTTGGGCTTGCCGCCAATAGATCGCACAGCTAAGGCTCCAACCACATACACTAGAGCTGGCAGGTTCAAATCCAGCCAGGGCCTGCCAAACAACAATGACAACTACAACCAAAAAATAGCTGGGCATTGTGGCAGGTGCCTGTAGTCCCAGATATTTGGGAGGCAGAGGCAAAACAATCACCTAAACCCAGGAGTTGGAGGTTGCTGTGAGCTGTGATGCCACAGCACTCTACCCAGAGTGACAGCTTGAGGCTCTGTCTCAAAGAAACAAACAAACAAAAAAAAAAAAAAACTTGACCGCTACCTCACACCATGCACAAAAATCAATTCCAGGTGGATTATGTGGATTGAAATGTGAAACCTTAAATAATAAAACTTTATGCCCTTGAAGATAGTATAGAAGAAGTCTTTTGAGGCAAGCATTGGACATAAGGTGGTTGAAACAGACCCCAAAGTCTCTTTTTTCTCCTTTAGGATAACTTCTCCAAATAGGAAAAATTTCACAGTTTATAGTGTGTTTCTCTCCAAAAAAGACAAGTTCTTTACGGTTTGTGATTTTCTGAGGCTCCCAACTGCTTAGCCTAGGATGGCCACCTTCCCCACCCCATCCACACCTTTGCACTTATACTCTGGAGCTCCTCTGCTACCCCTTCTGTGGCAGTAACAGCTCCCACTCGGTGATGACAGAGAGTGAGCCACCTTATTGGAACCACCAGCCTTGAAGTCTCATCATGTTCACCAGAAG